GGGCGGTGTGCGGGCCCGCGGCGGCCACTGCGGTGTTTGGCCTTGCTGGGGTTTACTCTGTGGAGCGTAGTAAGGCTGGGCGGGAGGCGGTTATTGAGATGGGAATAACGAAGCGTCTCTGGTTGTCTCGTGTAAATCTGCTCCGCGTGGAAAGCATGTGCAGGAATATGTATAAATACACGAGTGTGTGTGTGTGTGTGCACAGTCTGACCAGTCGTACTCAGCACTGCACTGCAACTGCTTCTAGAACATAACCGATTTTGTACCAGTGTGAAGCATAACTAAGGCAGTTAAAAGTTCTTTGGGGCTCAGTTTCTGTTATTTCATTTGCTTATTGCTTATCTTTCTGCAGAAAGACATTACAGCCCCACTTGTGAGGTGCTATGCAAACATGCTGCGTTTCCTACCCTTAGCAGTTGGCAAGCCATCATCATCCAAATGCTGAGTGCTGTTATGCTGGGGTTTTTGTTTGCTTTTTAAAACTGTCTGTGAGCCAAAAAAAAACGTAGATGGATGCCATTTTGGAAACAAGCCCTCATTACCATAGTACTCCTGAGAAAACACAGCGTGTACTGGGGGGAGGAGAGCCACAGTTCAGCAAGCATACATTTGAGTGTGGGCCTTTCGGAAAGATATCCTTACTTTTCTCAAAATCATAATGCCAAGTGTGTGAGGACAAACCCTGTTCCTGGAAAACTTATAGGGCAGCATTTCATAGCTGCATTCTGAAAATGCAGCCCCAGTGGGCAAACAGTAAACATACTTGTTTTGTGAAATGGCTAATTACAGAATCAAGTGTGTGTTACAGGTGGTCATTGGTGATGAACAGAAGTAAATGGTCTCAAGCATACTTGCAATTTCCTATCTCTGTTTTATTTCATTCCCTAATACGCGCTAACACCTTCTCTGTGTGTTATGTATAGTAACTCGCATGTATGTGTGAGTGGAGGTACAAACAGAAGTTGAAAATGTTCGTTCAGGTTCATCAGTCATCTCGGTTGTGAGCTTGTACTCTGAGCGCACGCAGCAGCCCGCGAGGACTGCAGCTATTGGGTCATACAAGTTGTGTTCAGGGTGTGACAGGTGAGGAAATGCTGCTTTCTCACCCATTACCTAGATAGCTATTAACTGTTGGTGCCTTGTAGAATTACAACATCTTTTATACACTTAATTACTAAGTCTTGTGATAGTATGGATAAATACTGAAACATGGGTGGATGCAGATTTTCAGGAACATCTGACTTATTCCAAGGGCATTGTAATTGATAATAAAATGTTATTGAGGTTTAAGGGAGGCTGGCTTTTCTGTATTATGTGTTAGATAAAATATCCCCAGTATTATGCACAGCTTGAGAATGCATCTCTAATAAAAGGATAAAAATATGAGGGTAAAAAGATATAAAGGTAGGTGTGATACTCTGTTTCTCCAGAAAGAGATGGACTTGGACTAATATTTTAGTATTAGTATTTTCTTTTAAGAGGTAGCTGATTCCCTAGACAAAAAGAATTTAGTAGATTGCATTTGTTAGTGAAACATGAGGAATTGGTGAAGAGGCAACTTTGCACATGAGATGATAAGAAGCTATTGGGGAAGGAGAGATGGTAGCAGTGCTGAAGAGAAGGGAGGTTGACTTGGTTAATTTTCATTAATAGAAGTAGCACCAGTAGGATCCTTTGATACCAAAAACTATGAGGTATTGTCGTGGCAGAGAAAGGGCATTTACACAGGAAAGCAAGATTACTCTGTAAAAAGAGAGTTGAGGTTAATAGTACAAGGTTGTAGTCTTGTGAAGCGATAACAAAAAATTTGATCAGTCGTGGTTTGTAACGGAAACAACTGAGATGGGAAACACTTGCAAAAGCTGTTTGGTCATAGCCTATGAGCATTTAGGGTAATGCGCCTGTGAGAAGGGAAATCCTACAATATGTCAGAAGGATATTCTCTGTCACTGCTGTAGGGTAGGAATCTGATTCCAATAGACTAAAATGATCCCAAAAGAGGTGCAGAAGAGGGCTAGTGTGTCTGACAAGGGGAAGTGAGAAGAATTTGCCTTGTTTGGCCTAACAAAAAAAGATACGAGGAAGTGTTGATATGTAAATGTTTGTCTTCTGGCTCCTTAGCTTAACTAAGCCAATAAAAAATGAGAACAGTGGGTATAAACTGGTGTTTAATATATTAGGATTTAAACTTTTTTTTAATTCTTTGGTCTTCTGTCTGTATTTTTTTACGGAGAGAAGGGGAAGACTTCTGTGTAGTTTAAAAACAAAGCTAGAGGAGCTCATGTAAAGGAGAGGATTCTATGGATTCCTATGATAGCAGGGAGGCTGTAGTCAGTGGTGAACTGGAAAGTGTAGCTTACCCTTGGGATAGGCTACCCAAATGCAAATATTACACTACCACAATAGTTTTTATAATAAGAATAAATGCACTTCTCTCTGTGCTATTTAGTAAAGAAATGCATGTTCTGCTGCTGCAAGACTACTAGCTACAGTCTACTGTCACTTACTGTTTTAAAATAATCCTTTGGAGTAAGCCGTTCTCTTACAGGACAGTAAGATGTTACTAAGTTCACCTTGACTAAATCAGCAGCAAGGATTGTGTTACGTTTTCCACATTGTTGCCATGAGCCCTGTCCAAATGTCAGTAGTCCTTACAACACAAGTGTCTGCATTGTGAGAAGTTAATTGAGCAAATACCTACCAATAATTGTGGTGGGTGGCTGTTGTAGAAACATGGGAAGTAAAATCAGATGTACAAGGAAAGGACTGGTGAATGAAGGTCTGAAATATGACTGGCCAGATGGATTTTTGAGAAGATGTAAGATTAACCATTTATAGCCAGGGAGACTTTGAAGAGGGTCAAAACAACACTACTGTCTGGACAGGATTAGGAATATGTGTAGAGTATCTCAACTTGTCACAACACATTTGTTGTGATCTGTGCCTCCTAAGTCTATGGTCCAGCTGTTTAAAAAACATCTTACTCATGTTTATATAGCTGTTAAACACTTGGTGTTATTCTGTACCTTAGTACTTAAGTAATTTTAAATAACCTGACTGTGGTTTACCTAAGTGCCTGAACATATTTTCCATATTGCCCTGTCATTTCTTGGGTTGTGATGTTAAATGTAACACGCTTTGAGTAACTTTTGACTTAGGAATGTAACTCCAATTGCCGCTCACTAAGCATATGGATTTCACCTGCAGTGGGAGAGACCACATGTAGTTTTTACTTAAAGGCCAATCTTTTTTTCTCATGAAGACTTCCAAAGCAAGGCTGGAGTAGCTCAGAACACAGAGTTGCTGGGTTGTGATGAACTGTAGCTAGATAAGAAGAGGGGGTGTGAGCAGTGAACCGCTTTGTGTTCTGGCAGCTGCGGTACATACTTTATGTTTGCTTCACATGGGATTCCTGTTGTGCTTTGTGGGTTCTTTATGTTTGGTCTAACCTGTGTAAACATGAAGCAGCCGGAGATCTGCCCAAAGAAGGCAGTTAGGGAGTGACTGGTGTAAAATCAACATTCCACCACTTATCGTGCTTACTGTCACTGTTGTCATGCTAAGGAAAATCAGGTGCAGAGCTCAAACAGGGCATGCTCTGGTCATTGTTCTCTGAATAGTCATCTTGGGGATGCCATCATGGCCTACTGTAACTGGACTTGGTTGGCCTCCTACTCAGTCTCAAGATGTAAGGAGACTCTCACAGCTACTCTGAGCAGCAGATTTTTAATAGTTTGCTTTTAATTTTTTGCTTAGACACACATGCCTGGTGTTTCCACTGAGACTTTTTCAGATAGGGTATGTCTAGAAGGATACGTCTTGTCTGGTTTCCATGGCTGTGTCCTCAATAGGAATAGGTTCTGTGTGGTTGAACAATCCAGACAATGCCACTGATGTGTTCTTTTTGTATGTATTTTTTGAGGTCCTCTTTGAGCAAGTTATGTTGCATTCTTTTGTAGTGTACATGTGATGGTCAGTGAGGCAGATGACATGGAAAGTGCAGGTATACCAGTCGCTTAATGTTTGGAGGTTCAGAATTAGCATCCCAGTTGTAGACTGTTGTCCATAGCCGTGTAGTCACGTTCATAGACTTAAGTGAGTTTTAGTTTATGGTGTATAGTGGTAGAGTGTACTTGGCATTTTTCATTTTATTACAAGTAAACTCTTAAAGAGTGCCAGCAGAATTCCAACGTCAGGGAAGTGATGTGTTATGTGTGACTAATTTTAACTGAGCTTCAAACAGACTGTGCTGCTAACAAGTAAAACTCCATTGAATTGGCAGTATTAGGGAAAGCTTTTTAGCTCAAATAACACAAAAGACAGTTACAATTGGCTTGGGCAGCAAGAATCTTGGTAAAAGTAAATAGTACAGTACCACTATTTTGTAGAGCTTGTGGTGATTTCACTTGGTAATTTTGATGGTATATTTACAAAGTAGCATCCACATAGGTGAAAAACTCCATTTGAACTTTCAAATCACTTAGGAAGGTGCCTTCAACTCACTGAGGTGTGTAAACTCAGTCAGCCAAAGCTGATGTGTATTCTGAATGTTGTCTTTAATATGCAAACATACAGAGTTGTCACCTTCCGAATTGGTTCTTTTTCAGGATGGAAAACTTAATGCACCAGTAAAGAAGGGTTTGAAAACCTCACAGAAACTCTACTGCTGTCCTATTGAAGGCTGCCCTAGAGGACCAAACAGACCATTTTCCCAGTTTTCTCTTGTAAAACAGGTATTCCTATTTCCTAAAGTATTATTTTCATACTGATTTGGTCCTGACTGTCTCTACTCCAGAGAGTGTAAACTTTTCCATTCAGATATGAGCAAAGCCTCTCAGCATGTATCCAGAAGTTGGAGAACTGTATGCAGAAACTCCACGTAGGGCATATGCTTAATGAATTTGCACGTCAATATTAGAGGACTTGAATCTTTTGATCAGGCAGATGCCGGTATGTTCTGCTAAACTAGAATACAGCCCCTTTCCACAACTTAAAAAGATAGAAAAGGATCAAAGAGGGGAAAAAAATCAGGGTAGCAACTAATGAAGGTTAAAAATGTGGATGATGCTTTTAAACTGCTTTTTCAAGTGGTCAAGAGTTAAAGAGTTTTTCTCTGCTTTAGTATCAAAATGCATTTGTTTGCTAGTTACCCGTTTTGTTAAACAGGTAAGACTTGTTTCTGCATAAGTAAAAAATCCATGCTTCTGCTCTTGGTCACCTGTGATAACCTGGGGAGACCATAGGAGATGAGTGGCTAGCACTCAATGCTGTAAATGGAAAGGAAAAGTTCTGGTGTTTGCTCTGAAGTTGATCTGTTTGACTTGAGAGTATTTGCTCTGTTGTAGATCTTCAGGACTGTGCACATGTTGCAACATACACTTACTTATGCTTTTTGGCAAGCTTCATCTGCAGATTTGTTAATGTCCATAGGAAACCTCCAATTACATTAGGACAAATAAATGTTTATCTGTGGTTTAAGATGCACATAGCACAAGCAGATTTGCAAACTTTAAATTCTTTCTGTTGATTTCTTTAAGCTTGTAACGTATTCCTAATGAGACTTAAAAAAAATTTAATTCTACTCTTCAATGCTATTTAACAACTAAAAAAAATGCAAATATTAATGTCTCCCCTAAACATGATTGATTTTTTTTCCCTATCTTAGCTGAAGGCTGATGTTTACTTTTCCTTGTGTATTTTAGCACTTTATGAAAATGCATGCTGAAAAGAAGCACAAATGTGATAAATGTAGTAACTCCTATGGTACAGAATGGTATTTGAAACGGCATATAGAGGTCTGTGGCAAGACTTTCCAGTGTACTTGTGGGTGCCCTTATGCCAGCAGAACAGCCTTACTGTCTCATATTTACAGAACTGGCCATGAAATTCCTGCAGAACACAGGTAAAAGTGAAGCAGTTAAGTCCTTTGTCTCCCATGTACTGTCTTTTTGTCTCCTTTCTGTTGATTAAATTGGAAATAGGCTCACATTTTCAGCTGTAAAGCAGTTTGCAGTTTCTTCGTTCTGTTGCTTTTAGTAGTTTCTGTTTTGTTGAAGCCAATAATGATTGTCTAATCAGTAAGATCAGGTCTCCCCACATATAAAACAAAAGTACTGCCAGCATGATAGTTACTGATGACACTGCACTGCATGGCATGAATGCTAGTGGTTCTTGTTGCATCTGCTTTTACAGTTCTGTGAGAGTAGAGATGATCTGGAAATGTTTACAGCTGGAAACATGTGGAATGCAGTTCAGTTTATTTTCTTTTATAATCTAGTCATCTTTGCAAGTATTAGTGGATTCTTTTTTTTTTAAATGCCTATTATCTGCATGTTTAGTTTTATAGTTGTCTTAAGGTATGCATATATTTCATAAAGGGTAGTCTGTTTCCTGAGGCCTAGCCTGTCTGTCTTGGAGATTCAACGGCTGCAAAATTAAGTTTTATGTGAAGGAGTGCTAATTGTATCTTCAGCTTCCATGAGAGACCCTTACCTGTACACTAATTTTAACAGCACTGTCCCTTCAGTGCTCAGTCTGAGTTAGCATCAAAGTAACAGATTAAACATGTCATTAAATAAGAGTGCTTAATGTACAAGGGGGAAGAAACCTTCTAAACTTACACCTCCATTTAGAAATAGGTCTTCATAAAAGAGGTGACCTTTTTTCTTTTTTAAATGGGAGAGTGAGGAATAGAATTTTACAAAACTGAAGTTCATGGAGTCTTTTGTATTTTAATCAGGATTAGTTGTCTTCTCATATCTACCTTCATCTGTGACTTCAGTTTATGTTTTCAATGCAATGACTCAAAAGAATGGAAGGCAAATGTTTTGTGCTTGAAAGGAGTATAAATTATTAATCTCATGTTCACAGGGATCCTCCTAGTAAGAAAAGGAAAATGGAAACATCTGTGCATAATCAGCAGTTGGCAGAGAAAGCAAATGAAGCATTCATCAACACACACAATAATAATCCTGGCACTCGGGAATTGGAGTCCTCTGAATTGAAACTAGTGGCCTCTCTTGAAGGCTCCTGCAGTTCTAACTTCACGAACCAAATGCAGCCAAAATGTACACCAAAGATGCTTTTACCAAAGCCCAAGGTGGCTTTGGTTAAACTTCCAGTGATGCAGCTTGCTCACTTGCCTATATATGTATCTGCAACAGACCCTTCTGTCAAACCTGCTGTAGTGGCTGTTGATAATCAAGGTTCAGTTGTAAGTACTGTTCATTTATTACCTCAATCTATAGGAATTCTGATTCCAGCACTGGAGGCAGAAACACTTGTGTTTAAAGATAGTATGCCTGTTTCAAAAGTGACAAATTCTGGTCATCACGAACCAGTAAGTACTGGTGTACAGGTTGACTTGGATAAGGTTACATCGAATAACACAGGGCAAGAGCTGGGCAATGTTTGTCACAAGAACAATATTTCTTCAATAAATATACAGACTGACTTGTCTTATATTTCACAGAACTTTGTACCAGCTGCAGCCTGGACTCCCAATTCTTCTGTATCCTCTTGCTCACAGACAGACCTGTCATTCAGTTCACAGGTTTCATTACCCATCAGTGTACAAACACAGACGCTGCTGCCTGCTTCCAAACTGACTTCATCCATAGCTGCTCAGACTGATGCTTTCAGTCAGGTTTGTTTTCCAACGTGTGGCATTTCTAGGGAGACTCAAACGAGCAGGACACAGGACCCTGTTGACGGAAGAGTGCAAATGGACCAGGCTGTAATGTGCAGTGACATCTTTGACAATGTTCATTCATCATATAATGTTTCTACTCACATTGGACTTCCAGAAAACAATTTAATGCCTGCAAATATAGATCAAACCTTGCTGCAGAGGAGTAATTGCAAGAGCCTGAATCCAGATACGGTGAAGTCTGAATCCCTTATCAGCTTTAATACACAAACTAATATACTTCCACCTCAAAATACGATGGATAATCAAACCCAGACAATGGACCTACTAAGTGATCTGGAAAACATCTTTTCAGGAAACATGTCTGGCCAGACACTGGATAATCGTGGCCTTTTGTCTGAGACAAGTTCTCATGCTGACACGCATCTGCCATCTGGTCCATCACAGAGCACAGGCATAGACTTTGACATTGAAGAGTTCTTTTCAGCATCCAATATCCAAACTCAGACTGAAGAGAGTGAGCTTGGGACCCTGAACTCTGAACCAGTTTTGGAGTCACTGGACATTGAAACTCAGACTGATTTCTTATTCTCAGATAGTGCCACTCAATCATACAGCTGCCGAGGAAATTCTAACTTCTTAGGTTTGGAGATGTTTGATACACAGACACAGACAGACTTGAATTTCTTTTTGGACAGTAATACCCATCTGCCTTTAGGAAGTATTCTGAAGCAGTCTAGTTTCTCCATGAGTACTGACTCATCTGATACAGAAACCCAGACAGAAGTATATCCGGCTACTAAAAGTATACCTCCTCAGAATATTGAAGGCAAAGTCCAGCTCAGCAGCACTGAAACACAGACGATGGATAGCTGCTTTGAGAACCTGGGGAGTTTATTCCTTACCAGCAATGAGACACAGACAGCAATGGATGACTTTCTTCTGGCTGACTTAGCCTGGAACACAATGGAGTCCCAGTTCAGTTCAGTAGAAACACAGACCTGTGAAGAGCTGTGCTCTTTGTTTCAGAGCTCTGACAAGCCCAGCCATTGAGTACTACATAATGTAACTGTTGCCTGTGGTTTGAAATTAAGTTATTGGGGTGGGAGAGATGGACTGACCAAGTTAATCCGCTTTGCATTACTGAATGTAGTTATCATGAGCAGTTGGTCTAAGAGACTTTTCATGCTGACGGTACTCTGTTGAATATGTAACTTTATATAAGCTATGGGAGTATAAATGGAGGGGGGGACTGTAACTTGTTAATGTATATTTGAACCTTAAAAAAAATTGTGGTGCCTATGTTTTTTCCTCAAACTTCTTTAAAAAGCTGGTACCGCTTTCATATAAGTGGAAGAACTTTAAAATTGTTCTCGCTATATATCTATAACTAGTCCTGGCTTACACACAGGGTTCCAGCATGCTGGACCAAAACCCTGACCTGTCCAGTTCATATGCTTCCCTGAACTTACAGAGGAGGGTTCTATTAGTGTAAGCTACTTCTGTTTACTTTTTTTTTTAGTAGCTTGTATTTTAAATCCAGCATGAACATAGTAAGCCGTATTGTCTTTGCTTTATGCCTTGACAACTCTTTCTCTGGCATACATTGGTGTTTTCCAAATACCTGTCCAACACACTAGACACACATAGACTCTTGAATTGTTGAATATATTTAAGTATATAAGTATATATTATTAAAAATATGTAGAAAAAAACCTCATTTTTTTCCCTGAGTGGCACTGATGCCATTTGAAGGGTAGGAAAAGAACTTGGAATACATAATTATAGGGAAAGTTAGTCTGTCATCCTTTTAGCTAGTGTAATAAACGGAACTAACATGTTTAGAGTCTTCAGGAGGGATTTGCTTAAATTATTTCTGACTGTAAGATGCAAATGTTACAATGTGTGTGCCTCAGAGACTGGGATAATGTGTTTTTGCTGAAATTCTCCTAGCTCTATTGAGATGCAAGCTGAGAAATGTTCCAGTGGTTTAAACCTCTATTACCTTAACAGGAATCTTTAGAAATGGGAAATTAAATTCTCTAAAATACTCACTCACCTGGATTCCTGGTTTTGGACTTCCTGCTTCCAAAAACAATTGGAATCCACACAACAGAGCTGGGAGATCAGCTCACAGAAACCCTCTCAGAACACCTGGATCTTGCTTTTGCACATTGATCTGCAGCCCTCAGTTCCTGTAGCTTTTAGAGAGTTTTTCTGATATAGTCAAATTCAAACAAACTGATTTTTCAGAGAAGAAACATGTGACCTCTTGGAATTTTTGTTAATGTTCATCTTGCCCCTTATACCATTGTTTGCAGCATTTCTCATTTGCATGAAAAGAGGAAATTAAACCAGTTGTGAATGTATGTTGGAATTTGGCCTTAAACTGATTTTGATCTCTTACTGTAATACCTGCAAAATGTAGGCCTCTGGTTTTGTCCTGGGCACTTTTTAGTTTCTGTTACCTTAAATGAAAAGAGAAGCCTCTTTGTGTCAAGTTCCTGGGCCTGTACCAGACTTTAATCCTCCATTATGAGAGGAGAGGTATTGGCTGCGTATTTACTAGGCAGCCCATCAGTAAATGTATGTCCAAGTCTTAGTTTTTGAAGACTTGCTATGCTTTGTGCTTCATATCCTCAACTCAAAGACGTGGGAGTTAAGTTACTCATCTGTTAAAACTAGCTTGTTTTGTTGAAAATGAGCAATACCTTTCAATTTTTTTGTCTCTTCCTACCACTCTTTAAATTGCCATCGTTAACATGCTAATATGGTAAGCATCTCTACTTTTACTGGAAATAATCTCTTTGGATTAACCCTGAGACTCTTATTTTCCTCCTGAAAAATTCCTGGAACCGCAGCTGTGTTGCCTGTTTAATTTTTCAACATTTCTAGGTGTCAGCTCAGGCACTTCCAGTCTTTGGATGAAGAAGCTGCAGAAAGGAATCTTGCAGTTCTGCCCCAGGAGTACAGTAATTCTGCTTTGGGGAAAGTCCCCCCAGGTTTCACAGTGTCTAGAGTTCTGATCTGAAAGGTGGGATATATTGAAAAAAGGAATGCATCGCTTGTAATTCTGTTTTTTCTGAAGATAGAACTAATATGTACTTACCTGCCTACTTTGAAATTGAGAAATAAGATAAATTAACCTGATATCATCATTTATTCTATTGTAGTATTTTTCTAGTAATGTTGCATCTTGAAGTTTTAAAGTGTTTCTCCTTCTCCTTTCTTCTCCCTGGCTGGAATACCAGAGAACATTTCTTCATACATAGGCCTCTCTTGTTTTCCATGTGCAAGGTGTCTGTGTTGACACATGGAAGAGCAGCAGTTACTACAGATCTGGTTCCCAGGGTACCACTAGAAAGGACTTTGACAGTTTGGAAAAACTCTGTTTTCCTCAGCTGTAGAAGGTAGAAGTGAGAAACTGCATTACCTCTGCATTTAGTAAGTCAGTCTTTTTTCTGCAGGAGAAGGAATATTAGGTGATGAGGAGCAGAATTACAGAAGGCTTAGAATTGTAGCCATCTGAGAGACCAGCTGGCATTTCAAGAACTTTGAAACTTAGTTTACAAGTCAGAATGAGAATTGCTACTTCTTACACTTTGGTGTAAGCCAAAGCTCTTAACACCAGTGACTATCAGCAAAAACTAAGGTTTGTGTGGATGCAATCTTACAATGTAATCGTTACTCATTTACTGTACTTTGTAGTTAAAAGTATTTGTGAGCTTTGTGTGTTTTATTAGAACATGCAAATACCATTCTCTTCCCTCATCCTATGGGTTTACAATAGTTTGAACTTTAATTAGGTGAACACAATACTACAACATGAAATGATTTGTTGAAAGGACGGTATTGAGAAATTATTAAATATGTCTGCATAGGGAAGTGGCTCATTCTGACCAAATTTGTGAAGAAAGAAGTTCTCCATAAATCATTCCTAAAAGTCAGAAACGGCTTTGGATCCTATGTTGCTGGCATATGCCAGTTTGGATTTATTAAGTACTTTGGTGAAAATGTGATGGCTGCAACTAGACTTCCTAGTTCACTGAATCCCGCAGTAAACCTAATGAAACCTGATATGCAATACTATTGCTGAATATTACAAATTCTTCTAATCTGAACAAGTTCTTTAACGTGGCTCATTTTCTGTTTTGGCCGTTGTTTTAAAAATAAACTTCAGTCAGAACTATTTCTTGGTAGTACTAAAATGATACTTATCTCCCTTTTTCTGCAGTTTGTCTCTGATTTGATTTTCAAGGCACTGTCTCTATTGTAAGTATTGGTCAGCAGTGACTTACTACTTTGCTTATTCTCTTTTGTGTCCTCTGCTATTTGAACTGCTATACAAAAAGTAACAACCTCTCCGTAGTCTCTTAGCACAAATTTTTATCTAGAAGTCATACTAATGTGGCTTGTACTTATTCCTTGCATTTCCTGCTTCATTCTGTTATGCTGTGATTGCTGGATCTTGATCTGGTTGCCTGCGTAATGCTACTCTAAAATTGAATTAGTACTTTTGTAGTTTCACTTGAGCTTTTCTGTGGTATATAAAAAAATCGAACAAATGAAAGACAGCAATTTTGGGACACGTGTTCTATGAGGACATAAGCACAAAGCAGCTGAAAAATGAGAGGTCTGTCTTGTTGCCGTCCATGTTTGTCACAATGTTAAAAGTTTGTATGACAGTAGATGTGTGTTTCTTCCACTTTTGGCTTTATTTGCATCTGTTTCCGCTAAGACGCTTGTAAAGAATTCTGCTTTGGGTAGGGAGGGAATCCTCCCCCAACTCTTCATGTCAGCCTAGGGAAATTGGTAATTTAATTGGAGTTTCTCAGCACTGTGCATTCTTAGCTGTGCAAAGCTGCTTGTGTCTAGAAAATTTTCACTTCCAAAGGATATGAAATCTTAAATATATATACTTGCAGCTGTAAATTAAACAGCTGTAAAACAAGCCTTGTGGGACCCCGTCTAGTTTTGAATAATTCAATTGGTGTCTTAACTTACTGTATGTAACTAACACTCCTTACAAATTTTTATTCCAAAGCGCGCATGCAGTCATTTTTTCTGTTGAAAACAAAATGCTGAATTTCCCTGTTAGTCATGTACCTTGATTGTGTAGAGGTAACAGAACAAAGAAAGATGACTGCCTTCCACTGTTCTAAATCCTTATCCTGCCAACATACGCTCACGTGCTTAGTCAGATCTGAATTGATTTTTGTGTGAGGGTGGGTCGAGGTGTAAGTGTCAGCAGGATTGGGATCTTAGGGGATTAGGGGTTTTTTAATAGCCTTTCAAATATAGGGTAAGTCAATAGGACTAACATATACTGAATCAACACAGGATGCTCAACTTGCAAAAGAACATATTACTGCAATGACAGCTCAGAGGTGAACCAAATGTAATTGCCTTTACCATTAAGGTCGTACAGCTTCCTTTGCTTTAATACTTTTCTGACATGTTGTGTTTTTAAGCGTGATCTTCATGTACAATTTACTGTTCCAAATACATTCGCACCAAAATGTTGTGGAACATTCTGGGCCTTGCAAGCTTTTTCATTCATGTTTGGTTTAAGGTGCTGCTATGTTTGTGTTCCTTAGTAGAACAGGCCTACTGTAAACAGACTTCCATTAATAACTTTATCTGAGAACTATGAGGACAGGGTTGTTTAATGGTACCAAGCTTCAGTGCATGGTGCAAACATACATCTTCTGGGTTTTTTGTTGTTTTTTAACAGTTGATGTCAATTTAAATGTGTGCTAGAAGGATTTGCTGCATAGAGCATGACAATTTTCTTGTTTAAAATGCCATTGCTATGCAATGAACAGAATCAAGGAACTACACGGTTCAACTCTGCATTGCCTTGCAGTCAGCTTGAGGATTATGTTTGTATTTGTGTGTGCGACCCTTCCACTTCACCAAAAATGTAATTGGACAGCCTGAGACAGTGGGAACTCCTGAAGGAACTGCCAGGTTCAATACAGAAGTTCTTTCTTCCAATTCTTTTTCATATACTGGCTTTACAGCCCTGTCTTCAACATAACTAGCAGTGGAAT